TATATATATATATATATATATATATATATATATATAAGTGTGTGTGTGTGTGTGTGTGTGTGTGTGTAATTTTATTTGGGGTTAAAAAGACATCATCAACCCCACAATAGAAAGATATAAATTACAAATAAATCATATACACGAGACAACACAATAGGCATAAAAAAAACAATGAAACACTTTAGCATACATTTCAGAAAAATGTTTGCATATTTCAAAGTATATATATATACATATATAAAAAATAAAATGTTTATGCTTATCTATTTGCTAGCAACATGTGCTATCAGAGTCATGACCCAGACATCTGCTTTGTGTGGCTGTCAAAGATAAAGAGAAAGAAAATTTGATTTTCAATTGGTTGCAAAATGCATGTTCTGGGAGTCTTCATATTTATTTAAATAAATAGACACTTATAATTCAAATCAGAAAGAGAAAGTTGATATTTCTCGGACACATAATGGGGGCTTGAAGAATTTGGCATTCACAGGATATACTGAAGGGAAGAGAGACAGAAAGAAATCTGTAGTGTTTGTGAAAAAAAAAAAAAACTTTGAAAATCTGTGTAAAGTAAGATTTGCTAAAATGAACAAATTAAACAGATCCAAATTATAGCAGAAGCATTATCAAAACATTCTATTAGACAAGGGTCATGGGACTGAGATCAAATTACAGCCTTGTCCTTTGCATTCATTTTTACACCATGCACTTGGGAAAGGCATAACTACATCTCTCTTTCCTTAAGCTGTGAGTCAAATAGCAGGGTAACATGGATTCTCAACTTTCAACAGCAGTGAGTCAGCAAAAAGGATTACTCAGAATTCAAAACCATTTAGGTGACAATAAGAAACCACTCCATTATCTTTCCTAAGGAGTGGTATCAATTCAGAGATATTAAAGAAATGGATACAGTAGAAAACCATAATCAGCTACTTTCAGAAGGAACAGGCCATTTGGAATATCTGAACATCTATCTATCTATCTATCTATCTATCTATCTATCTATCTAATTATTATTTCATCATCATCTTACGGCCTCAGCCGAGATTGAACTCACCAATACTTTGATTGGTGTAGTTCATAATCTTGTCAAATAGCTGAATTCTTGATGCTTCGCTAGGGCTATCAAGGGTGTTTTTTTATCGTGACACCAACACTAAATGGATTGCCAACCAAGGCTCAGAGAGACTCCATTCACCCTCCTCTAAGAGCAGGTTTGAATTCAGAGTTTTCCTTCTCCTAGACCAGTTGCCATCCAAGGCTATAGAACCCAGTCTGTCCTGCTATTTACCCATAGCTGGAGGGAGAAGAAAGAGGATTAGCACGTAAGTGAATGTAATGGATTCGACTGGAATTCGAACTCGGCTCTCTGATTCCTCAATCCAAGCCGCTATCCATTACTCCATCGTGCCTCCCTATTATTATTATTTACATTGTCATGATGTTGTAGGCTCCAATCTTCTTCAGGTGATATCTGTTGGAATTTTCTAATTCCTGTGCCAGAGGAAACAAATCTTCAAGAGTTGAATTATGAAGGGGAATTAACTAAAACAATTATCCAAAGGCATGTCACATGAAATTAGAACAATCTAACCCCATTGTCTAAATAAAGGATTTGATTTGAAATTCCAACTAATACCATCTGGCAAAAGGAGCAAAAACTCAGAGAGTTGAGTTATCAAATGGAATGAACCAAAATTGAGATATCTCATATTAATAGGACAAGTGAGGAGTGAATAAAGTCTGAACAGTGAGGCTTCGGTTTATATATTAAGCAAAATATCACAAAAGAAACAGAAACATTATTAACCAAAAATCATCAGAAGTTTGGTGGGATGCTGGAATATGGCAAACAGTAATTTGTAGTGATGAATGCAAAATAGAGTTACATTCTAATGCAAAAGAATATGTAAAAAGACCAGTGAAAGACAGAAGCAATGCAAGATACATCACAACAACGGTAAAATATGGTGGTGGACACATAATGGTCAAAGAACATTTATAAAAGTTTATTGGTCTAATTTTCTGTCAGACTACAAAGATGGAGAAATTTTCCAGCATGATGGTGCTCTGTGCAATGCTTCATATGCAACAAAAAGGTTTCTTGTGGATCAGGATGCTCAACTTTTGGAATCCTTGCCAGCACAAAGTCCTGATTTCAATATAATTGGACCATTTTGGTGGGAAATGAAGAAACAACTGCTCCAACAAAGATGACACATTTTCCAAGATCTTTGGGATTGCAGTAAAGAAGAATAGCAAAAAATCTTACTCAATTCAATGCTACATAAGAATGTAGCAATTATTCAAGCTACGCTAATTACTAACACTAATTATTAATTCCATACTCTGATGTTTTGTACTTTCCTTAATAAAGATCACTTCAATAAATATATTGTTATATATTATTTTAATGAAATATATATTATAATATAATATTATATTATTACATATATATATAATATTATGTTATATATTATATGATTATAATTATAATTATATCATATACTAACAGTAGAGCCCGGCGTTGCCAGGGGATGTAACAGTAAGAGATAGATCAAGTATCGACCATCATAAAGACTGAAAAATAAAATTGACAAAGATTATTGTTTAAGGTTGATGGACACGCATGTCTTAATTAGTTTTTTTTTTTTTTTTATGAATTGGTCAAATCCAAACTCAAACAAAAACATTGTTTTCAATCGTTATGAGTCTATCGATTGAATAGAATTTTATTATAAACAATTGTCTTGTAAATGGAATTTTTAAAGCATTCTGAATGTAAAAATAAAGAAAAAAAGTGTGCAAGACAATAAGAAACACTACCTGACAAAAAAAAAGTTTTGTTGAAATCGGTTGAAAAATGTAGGAAATCTGATCCCATATATAAATGAACACACACACAACCTGGGTTTTATAATAAGTATAACTCGATATGAGTTGTCCCCCTTTAATTCTTGTGATGCTTCTTAACCATGTTTTCAAATTGATTTCATGCAAAAACAATTGTTTTTCCGATTTTTTGTGCTGTCAGAACCACCACAAGCTAATTTTACGTAGTCCTGTGAAGTTTTGTTGAAATCTGTTGAAAAATGTTGGAAATCCGATCCAATATATCAACGAAACAGACACACACACACACACACACACACACACACAACTTGCGTTTTATAATAAGTAAGATTATAATATATTATTATAATATAAAATATAATATATATTATAATTATCTAATATCTATATTTCTCATGTTGTCTGTCTGTGTTTCTGTCGTGGGCATTGTTACCTCACCCAGGACGCATTTCTCACCCGATTTCTATGCGGCTTTCACCACAAGTTTGCAAATGGCTGCCTTAAGGACATGATGCAGCCTGGTTTTTCAGTTCGGACTCAGGTTCCGAAAAAATCGATAATCGAAAAAATCGATAATCGAAAAAATCGATAATCGAAAAAATCGATAATCGAAAAAATTGATAATCGAAAAAATCTGCTTACAGTAGGAATTATTGCATTTCAACCAAATTTGACACCCTCTTAGAGTCTACTTTTAGAAGTGTTGTCCAGAAGTTTCATGACCATGGACCGCTAAACAGCGCGGAAAATCGATAAAACCCAAAAGCCAATGCGCCAAAATTGCACCTGAACTGCATGTTGGTTTTTAGCGAAAACCGATCGGATTTATGAGGAGGCCATTGGGAGTCACCATGTGAAGTTTCAACTCTGAGCCCCCCCCCAACAGAGTGCAAATGGACAATCGGTCAACCCTTAAAAATGTTTTTCCAGTTAGGTATTTCATAAATGGCAGATTAATTTAAGGTCACACTATGCACGGGAAGAAACAGGTTAGTGCGTGCAGTGCTGTATGAGTCGTATGATTTTTGAATCAAGCACGGGCAACGCCGAGCCATGCTTCTAATATATTATATAATATATAATTATATTTTATATTATATATCATATTAGTATAATTATAATAATATATTATTTAATAAAGGTCACTTTTTGCAAACCAAAAAAAAAATTCCTTTTCTAATGTAAGAAATGAGCAAAAAGATGAAATTTTCACTTGTGGCCAAATAAATTTGCATGCTTCTATCATCCACCATACAGCATATAACAAAAATACAGTAACTTGTTTTTTGGTCCTTAAAGATCATAAAATGTACTGTGAAAAGCATCCTGTTAATTACTCTCAAGTTTGGGGTAAAATAAACAAAAGTAATTAATTTACCAAGGTTTTATACATAGCAGTGCATACATTTGTTCCACACTGTTTGGTGCAACTCAGAATTTCATGCACACTATATATATATATATATATATATATACACCTATGTGTATGTATATACATGTATATGTTATTGTGTATGTGTGTATTCGCATGTGTTTTTGAACATAGAAATATAGGTCCTTGCTGGATTAGATAATCGTTATATTTATTTTTTATATGTTTATATTTGATTTGTAACCTGTAGTCGATATTAAATTTGTCAAATTTTCTCAATTACAAAGCAGCCCTTTAAGTAAACACAATTTTACTTTCCTTTGCCCCATCTCGCTCCCCCACCTTGCCTTTCCCTCCCTCTTATTCTAACATTAGATTGTCTATGGTGTGTGTATGTCACGACGAAATGTATCCTTATGCATTAGACATCCGACAACATTCATTTTTCTCTTACTTAAACCCCTTCCACCCACCTCTCCTAAAATTCTCTCTGTTAAGGTTCAATCTCCCTCCTCCTCATACTTACACTCTCTCTAAATTCTGTTTTTATTTCCAGAGTTGTTTTTTCTGTTTTTTTTTTTGAACTTGTAGGTCTGGTGAATTGGATCGTATTTACGATTCCAATGGAATAAATTATGACCATGGAATATTAGTGTTTGAGCCTTTTATATTATATTCTTACTCTGTCCTGGACATTGAGTGCTACCTGGATTCTTCCTCTTGGAAAATCTTTTTTCTGAAAATATACATGTATGGGTATTTATATATTTTGCATATGTATGTATATTTTTCACTAATATTATCTATCTATCTATCTATCTATCTATCTATCTATCTATCTATCTGTGTATGTGTGTGTGTGTGTGTGTGTGTGTGTGTGTGTGTGTGTAAATATTAATTTTGGTGTATTTCTACCTTTTCATATGAATGCATGAATAAGCATAAACAGACAAATTTTGCATGCATGTGTATTGTACGCAGGTAGATCTGACTGTATACCTCTATATGTATACCTAAAAAGCTTTTGGGTGATTTCAGCTTCGCTCATGTGTATATATTAATAGACTCAGAAGCCGAGATAAGTTTGCATGGATGAAGCCTCACCATCAATTTGAAGTATCAAAGAATGCATAGAACCTAAATATGTTTTTTTTTATTTTAATTTCTTTCTTTTTCCTTACAAAAATTTTTTTTTTTTTGTTCTTTCATTTTTTTATCTGCAAATTAATTTCTCACTCTCTCTTTCTAGCACTCTTTTACTTCTTTTCCCTTCATCATATCTTTTTCACTCTCTCTTTCACATTTTTGTTTATTATTTGTATGTTGCCTCTTTATTATATTACCTTCATCATATCTCTTTTCACATTTTTGTTTATTATTTGTATGTTGCTTTTCATCATCTCTCTTTTTGTTTATCATTTGTATTCTTGCCTCTCTATTATTTTTCTTCTTCATATCTCTTTCACTCTTCTTTCTCTTTTTTGTTTGTGTTTGGTATGTTGCCTCTTTATTTTTTCTTTCTTCATATCTCTTTCAGTCTCTCTTTCTCTTTTTTCCTTCTTTTTATATATTACTTTAGTACTTTTTTCACTCTTCATATCTTTCTCTCTTTTTCTCTTGCTTATTTTTTGTATAGTATTTCTTTATATGTTTTTTCTTCTTCTCTCTATTTTTCCTTTTTTTGTCATATTTCTGTATTAAATTCTTTTTTAACCCTCTTTCTTATTTTTTGGCTCTCTTTCACTATTCTCTTTTGCTTCATCTCTCCTGAAATCATTTATCCAACCTCTCTCTTCTGCTCATTTCCTTTTTCTCTTTGA